ATGCGCTCAGGTGTCTGTGCAGAGGAGATGGGGAGATGCCAGGGAGGGAGCTCAGAGCCTAGAAGACCTGGGGGCCCATGGTTATCCCGCCATTATTGGTCCAGTTTTGTTTCAGCTAAGGAGCAAAGCAGTTTGCCTCTGAGCTGCATTTTTTTCATTGACAATGACAAGCCTGGATTTAGTGATTTTTAGAGTTCTTTTTATCTCAATACTCCATGATGTGAGACACAGATTTTATAAATATATTTTGTGTATATGTACACATATACACACATATACAGTTACTTCCTTTTCTAGTGTGTGGATCTGGTGGTGATTTAATTGTATGTCTGTTAGCCCTATCTAGAACATTTGGAGGATGATTATTGCAAATATTTATTGAGTGCAAAATATGTATCAGCTCTGTGCTAAAAATTCCGTACGTTATATTATGTAACCATTAAAGCAAAGGGAACCCTACTGGCTCAACCTTCATTATCGGTTAGAGACCAACAAGTCATTGGAGAATAAGGATGGTAACTAAAGCTGTCACAAGTGTGTAATAAAACTTCCATAATTAGAACTTTGCAAAAGGAGGTACCTGCTCTGCTCAGGGTAACTACTTTGGATTCTAGGCCGTTTGACCCGAGGGTCTTCCTTTGTGTTCAGCCTCCTTCCTCCCCCTATGTTTAAACCTTCCTGCCTTTTCATATCCTTCACAACGCTGATTTTAACCTTTACCAAGGAAAGTTACTTCTAACATCCTCAGCAGGACGATGGTCTAGTTTACCCACAATGAATGTCTGTACCAGTGTCCACCTCACTTGTGTCCTGAATTAGCATCCCAAGGCCCAGGCCAGTTTCCAACGGAGAATATTATCCGTCTCCTAGTTTCTGTAACAGACTTTCATTTGTTCATAAGGGCCCACATTTGGGGGCTTTCTGCCTGACATGGTGCGAGGGATAGTTGGATAAGGAGGCTATCTCGCTGTTGGGAAACTGTTTCACGTGTGTGATATACACACAGAAGGTGCATCATCTGCTCATTGTCATTCTTGATAATGACATTCATTATCAATAACATTTCCTTTCGTTGAATAGTGGCTATTTACACTGAGTTATAGTTGGCATGCAATAAAACACACCCATTATTGTGTTCAGTTCAATGAGTTTTAACAACTGAAATCATCTGCAAAATCATCATGGAAGAACATTTCAAACACCCTAGAAAGTTCCCTCCAGTTTCTTTTAATCAGCTCCTCTTCCCCACCCTGAGCAACCACTAATGAACTGTTTTCTTAGGCATATCCCATATCATACATGGGAAGGTTTTCCCAGAGCCATGGTAGCACACACGCACTCCATCAGGTTAACGCTTCTGCTCCTACCAACTTTGTTAGTGGGAACAAAATACCCATTTGGAAATGCGTAGTTGACCCCTGACCTGCGCTTCAAAGAATATTTGGACTTTCTCTGTTTCTCTTCTGTGACTGTCCTGTCCCCGTGGTGTCAGGCTGCCACGCCTGCGCGACATGCCCAGACGTCATCTTTGGGCGTCTCTCTCTCTCTGACTTAAAACCCCCCAGTCACGGACTTCCGGCAATTTGCCTTCGCGGTTGTTTTCTGAGCCAATGTCGGGCCTCCTGTGCCCATTCTACTTAACGTAAGTCGAGAATATCTCATTTCTTACCTGAATGCGTTCAGATACGATTTTCACAGGACTTCCTAAGAACAAAACCCACTCCTGGTTCTCCAGCCACCTCACTGGCAGCCGTTTCCGCACTTCCCGGGCCTGCTGGCGCCGGCCGGCGTCGGGACCACGGGGCCCGGCTCCTGCTCCCACGGGCAGACCTGTCCCCGGGCTCCGAGCCTCAGTAGCTGACGTCCCGCCCGCAGCCCCGCGTGGGCTCGAGATGTGCCTCCCGAGCCGGACACTTCCTGAAAGGCCCCACTGCTCGTTGCCAGGCCGGCCTGTCTCTCCCGCAGTCGCCATCGCGGGAAGGCTGCATGTTCACACGGGGGGGGGGGCGGGGTCCACACCTAGTATCGCGAGATCGCAAAGGTCCCTGTGCTCCTAAGTCTAGGGAGGCGCCCTCAGAGGGAAGCACGCCTGGAACGTCGCACTGCTGGAACGTCATCTGCCTGCGCTTCCGCCCCGCTTCCTCCTTGGGCTCTCCACGCGGGCTCTGATGTTCCACATGGCAGGTAATAGAATAACGTAAGAGTGGAAGGCAGATGATTCTATTTCTCAGCTCAGAGTATCCCGATGGGAGGCTGTTCCTCACAGAATAACATTTATCTCTTTCAGGTATTCCGGGAAGATGGCGGCACAGGCCGCATAGCTTTTTTAATTTCCCCGAAATCCGTCAGTTAGCAACACAAAAAGCAGCTAGGAGTGCAGAGATGGCAAAGCGAAGAAGCCCGATGGACAGTGTCTACAGTGAAACCTGGTGGCCAGGTGACTTCATGAATCCCAACACGGAAGAGAGTGTGGAGAAGTGACATCGGCCACACGAGGGCGGTGTCCCCTGTCCTGGGGAAGCCCCGCTGAGCACCTGGCACCCAGGTTGGCCGAGACGAACCCACTGGAGTCCGCGGCAGGGTGAGTCTAACATGGCTGGAACTGGGGCTGTCCGCGCCCTGCGGCAGCAAGTGCTGAAGGACCCACGGGGAGGGTGGAGGAACTGCAAGAGTCAGCCTCGATGGACATGTAAAACTAATGCACCAGATAAGCTCTAAGAAAAAAACACTGCCCTGAAGATAAATTTCTGGGAATGGATCCAAAGCTAGTGGGGCAGGAAAAGCGGAAACAAATAAAAAGGGGTGGGAGGAGGAGACTCAGAGAGCAAGTTTTGAAAGCAAAAGACAAGCGGTGGGGAGGGTCTCTCTGTAGTCGGGGAGCAGAGGATGTCCTGAGCCTCAGCTTCTCTAAAATTCAGGCAATTAATTTCAAGTACAAACACACAAGGAGAAAGTACTGAGTTACATCCCATGCTAAGTTATTGTAAGAAAAAGAAGAAAGACTGCAAAATAACATTCCTACAGATAATGAACACAGTTCCAGAAACACATGCCAAAGGGATGCATAAAAATCGAACCTCTAATATTTCAAAATAAGTTGAAACCACTAAGAAAATTATGCAAGCTATGAAAGATCAATATGTACTAGGATTGTTAAAAAATAAACACAGAAATTATATAATATAACTTGAAAGAAATAGAATGAAAGGAAACATTGCTTGAGAATCGAATACTACACTAGAATGGATACACGAGCAAGTAGGCAGGACAGGTAATGTCTTATGAGAATACGGAGTAAAAATGAGCAAAAAACAATGAAAAATGAGACAAGAATAAAAGAGGATAAGGATACCTATTAAAGAAAGAAAAATCCAACATATGTATGATAGGAGTCTATGAAGAAGGAAATGAAAGCAAAGAAACAACAAATACTAAAATCTATAATTAAAGAAAACTCTCCTGGAATAGTAATTATTTAAAAAGATCTGAAATACATAGCGAAAGGGTATAGCATATATCTGAAAACATTAATACAGAACGCCCAACACCAGGACATACTCTAGTCAAAGATAAAGGAATCAGCTGGGAATCTAAGCCAAAACCCAAGTGAATTATAGTGGGGAAAACAAGCTTGTTGTGAAAGTGTTAACAGCAAGACCTATGCTGCATAATCAAATGGGGCATTGTATTTAAGAACTCAGAGGAAGCAAAGGTGAACCAAGCATTACCGTCCATTTATATTTGCCTTTGAACACAAAGACCACAAACACCAGTGAACATACAAAAACACAGGGATGTTCTTCCGTAAATCCTCCCTGGAAAGCCCGCTGGAGAACTGGCATCAGGTTACTGCAATGTTTGGGAAGACATTGGCGTCAGTGCTGGTGTTGAGTCGTGAATCTGCAGCCACCCTCAGTAGTGAGGGGCTGCTACGGCATGGACGACAGGGACGAGGTGCATGTGTGCTGTGACATGCCAGTTGGGTAGGGTGGGTACTACGATTTTGAGACTGCTGTATGTGGACAAAAGCAAACGAGTAATTAAAAAGAATTCTGGTTCTATCATTCTATGTCTCAGAACCCAGAACACCTAATGTAAGATAGAGGAGGCTATGTTAACCACATTATCCTAAATTTGAGTTGTTAAGAGCTAGACAAAAATAACAACAATAATCAGAGTCTCTGGGCAATATCTGGATAGCAAGGAAGATAAGCGAGATTGCAGAGATCATGTACAAAAAAACGTAGGACCTCACGGGCCAAGGTGGAGAGGGACAGCTGGAAGTTCTGTGATACTGCAGTTGATTAAAACCCACCAAACATGTTTCAGTTCACACATATATAATATCCAAGGCAAAGTGCTTGGTCACTGTGGTGACAGAATAGAATGACAGGGGGCAGAATAATGGCCCCCGAATATGTTCTCATCCTCATCCTCAGAACCTATTAATACGTTACTTTGTGTGACAAAAGGGACGTGAGATGAGAAATCTGGTGGACCTGGGGCAATCACAGGGTCTTTCTAAGAGGGGCAGGAGGGTCATCGGTACAAAGAGAGGTGTGGGGACTGAGGCGGAGGAGGGAGGGGCGTGAAGATGCTACTTTGCTGGTGTTGGCAGTGGAGGGCGGCCCCGGGGCAGGGAGCAGAGGGCATCTGGAAGCCGGAAAGGCAGGGAACACACCCCCCTGCAGCCTCTGGAAAGAACCAGCCACATGGACCCGTTTCAGACTTCTGACCTCATTTTGGTCAAACTGCAAAAGAATAAATTTGCATTATAAATTTGTAGTAGTTTATTATAGCAGCAACAGGAAACTGATAGTCACCAATTGATTACTTTGAAAACTGGTAAAGGAAAAATTAATACTAGAGCATTTATCATGCCTTTCCTGTATACACAGTACTAGCAGCTATGTCAACAACAGGTGCAAAGAAATGCTTGCTCACAGATATGTGCAAAGCAACAAGTGAAAACAGCAAATGGCAAAGGGTTATTTGAGAACTCATGCATTCACGGGCATAGTCATCAAGCACCATTAGCTGCAATGTTGCAAAAATGAAAATATGACCAGCATTAGTCTTACAGAAAACATACAAAACACCAAATAGCATACAAACTAAAAAACACTGAACTGGATTAATTCTATCTAAATACCAGCTTACAGAAAATGCAGGGAAAAGAGGAACATGTTTAACCTCACCATGAGGACGCTGTCAGCATCTAACGTCTGGATTCGTCACAGTGGACAAAGTGCAGGTGACTAGTAAATTAAACGCCTGGATTTCTCCACTGTGCAACTCAGCCAAGGAACAAAAATCCACTGTGCCCCCTAAATCCACTTAAATAAAAATGAAAAAAAATATAAAAAAGACTTCATCTAAAAAAAATAAATCACAAGGGAAATAAAAGATGAAAGTAGAATATCTAGAGATTAATAAACATATTAAAACAAGAACTGGCAAAATGAAATAAACTGTGTAAAGATGCTTCCATATGTGACAAAACTCTACAGAAACACCAAGCAGAGATGACTCTGAAAACTGAGATCATGGTTACTTTTAAGGCGGGGGTGGGACTGTGAGGGAGGGAAGGCAAAATACCGTTGTTCCTTGAATTGAGTAGTAGCTACAAGCATGTATGCCTCATAGTATTAACAATTCATCAAACTATACTTCTGCTTTATGTAATTTTCTGTATCTGTTATAACCACAAAAGATTTAAGCAATGTAAAAATACTAGCCCTGTTATTGCAGACAGTGGTAGATCCACGTTACTGCTGGGAGACCCTGGGCAGCCCCCCACTTCCTATCAATGAAGCACACTTATTGTTCCTTTTCTGGGAACACTTACTTTTTCTCAAAACTATCCTGCTTTCCAGGTAATTCTTGAAGTCTGAGCTCAGATTTCACCTCTTCAAAATGGATTTCCTGTATCTTTCAGCTAAAATAAACTCCAGCTTTGAGTCTTCTTACCCACCTTTACCTCTCACTGAAATTATCTTACCGTTTTTCTCGCTCATTGGCTGTTTCCCAGTAAAAACCATCTAACCCCAAGGTACATGAGGCAGGACCTTGTCAACTCTATTTCCATTGTCAAGAAGACAAGGAACATAGTGGGTGCTCAAAGACATTTCTTGCACCCTGAGCTCCTAAAGATACAAAAATCTTGTGTACATGCAGAGTCAGAGCTCCAACCCATGGTTTTCCTGATTCCAGAAGTTTGCTGTCTTTGAGCATAGTTGCAGTCTCTGACCAATTAGTTGGACTTTTTTTTTGGTAATAGTTCTGTTTCAGAAGAGGCTTGTAAAATAATGCATAGTTTAAGTGCATCAGGAGGGCTCTACTTTTAAAGCAAAGCCAACATTGGCTCTTTTGTCAACCTAAGAATGTTTTGATAATATAAGTAATGCCTTCTAGATTACTGACTTTGTAGATTTTCATTTTCCCATATTTGTTTTTTCCATGGAAACAATTGCTATTAAAGGAATATTGGTTTTACAAAAAGTAAAACTTACTACTAATTGTCCTTATACAGCTGACCATAAATATGTAATAATTTCTTGGCACCTACAAACTACCTTCCTACTACTGTTTTCAATCATAATATCCTGCAAACTGGCATATGAATTGGTTCCAGATACTTGTAAATGAATAGGAATTAATAAACTTACTTAATCAATTTTATTCAAGCTAAATTACATACTCAAATGATCACATGAAGTTTACCTGTTCACTTTTATTGTCAATGTTAGCAGTGATTTACTGAGCTGCTTCTGTGTCCTGGCTCAGACCATGTGGGTGGACACAGAGACACGCCATCACAGGACCGACTCCTGAGCCCACAGGGCAGGAAGGGCTCTGAAAAGCTCATGTTACTTTTAAGAGAGAATAAAATGTTTCATGGTAAAAGTAACCTGGCTAGATCTTCATATCTGAAAGGAGACACTAGAAACTATTAGAAACGGATACTGCATTTATACTTCTATTGCTGTTTTCAAATTCTATGCAAAGAACCACAAGAACCTACAAAACTGTGGTATTAATATTTAAGCCCTGAAGAAATTGTTGTGAGATAAATTATAAATGGCATCTTATTACATAAAGTGAACCTTTGGAACTACCGTACAACTCCTAGTAACGCCTAAGCCAAATCTTGGACTTATCTAAGAATAGCATCTAATAACAACTTGTGAAAATGCTTGCCGTGTCTGTGTGTAACATGCATAGAGGTAAACATCGCAGAATGGATTGCAAGAAAGCTAAAGAGGCTCCATTTGTTTCTTTAAAATTATTTTATTTTTATTTTTAATTCTCATGGGCACATAATAGTCCTATATATATAGTGCACATGTGATGTTTTGACGCAGGGAGACAAGGTGAGTTAGTCAAATCGGTGACTGGAGTATCTATTGCCTCAGGCATTTAGCCCTTCTTTGTGTCAGGAACATTCCACTTCCATTCTTTTAGTTATTTTAAAGTATATCCCAACTTATTGCTGATTAT